AATTTTAAATTTAAAAATTTTTAAATAATAAAATTTTAATAAATATATTGTAAAATGTGTTAAATTAGAGAGTATATAAATATTTTCTTTCAAAAGGAATATGATTTTCCACAAGAGCAGTGCTAGGGGCACTCGCCTCTTGCACTCTCCGGCCAGCACTTCCACTCTCATTGGGCCAGGTAAGCTTGTTTTTTAAGACTTTGATATGCAACCTTTTAAACCAAAATAACGTGGTCCAATAAAAGTGAAAGTGTTGGCCGGAGAGTGCAGGAGGCGAGTGCCCCTAGCACTGCTCTTTCCGACAAAGGATATCTCGGGGAAATGTCTGTAGGACAACAATCCCAATTATTTTAGCATATTTTCTTCCTTTTGGTCTAAAGTTGCTTTCCTGTTTCTAATCATTGTGTCTACAGCCTCAACAAAATACCACTCCTGAGTAATGCTATGTGGGCCAAAGGGTGATAAAGACACCATGCGAGGGAAGTCTGAACCGAGTTTGGATGCATACCAAATCAGATATATATAATTGAAAAGAGCAAATCTTGTTATCTCTCCCACTTTTTACATAACCCCTTTTTCGGCCTAATTACCACCTTCCATGCATGTTCCATCCCTTTTTTATAAGGTGAAATTTATCAAAGTAGTAGAGATAGCTCCAAGAATCAAAGGAAGGATTTGGAGCAAATCAACTGGGGTTGAACACCGTCCATTTAGGATTCAGCACATCAATTGATTCTGATTCTGATTCCTCTGCATTTCACAGGATTTAATTTTACCGAGGCACAATTAAGATTTAAGAAGCTCCTTTATTCATAGCAAAACATAGAGTCAGAAGAAACAGGGATATCTATAACGGGATAAAATTTTCCTATACTTTTGTTCGTATAGCCTCCAAATTCGATTGAGGCTATTGTCACGTAAATTTTTCAGGTGGGGTTATTATGAATTAAATTTTTTGTTAAAGATCCACAATTTTATTAAGATTTTATTAATTTAATTATTAAAAATAGTTAATAATTAATAAAATAAATACTATTTATTATTTAAGAAAAATAAAAAATAATTTATAAATAAATATTTTAAAATAACATAATTAATTGTTTTTAAAAAATTATAAATTAATAAAATAAAAACTACATTTAAATAATTTTACAAAACCAACAAAATACAATTCACCAGTAAAACATTTGCAGTTTTCTGTTAATAAAATATTTATAAAATTATGTAATTTTAACAAAAATGTGCCCACCAAGTCCCAACAAGTGGCCTCTGGTCTTCAGCGGTCTCCGCTTACTATTCCCTCCATTCTTGATCACGTCGCCCTCAATCGTAAACGCACATCTTCTAATGATAAAGATTAAAAAAAAGAGAAATGAAACTTCGTTCATGCACCCAATTCGATGCCCTTCCTCTATATATACCCTCATCTTCTCCCTTCTTTCCTCACTCACACACCTCATTCTGCACATCAAAGCACCCAGAATCAGGAAGGAAATTTCAAATTCTTCAAAAATGCCTACTTCTACTTCTTCTTCTCTCAATTTGGTTTCTAAATGCATAGTTTACCCTGAACAGAGCTCCACAATCCGTAAGCTTAAGCTTTCGGTCTCTGACCTCCCTATGCTCTCATGTAACTACATTCAAAAGGGGGTTTTGCTTACATACCCTCCATACTCCTTCCACGACCTCATAGTCTTCCTTAAACAATCCCTTTCCGCCACTCTGTCTCACTTTCCACCACTGGCTGGGCGGTTGACCACCGACCCCGACGGCCACGTTCACATCCTCTGCAACGACGCAGGGGTTGACTTCCTTCAGGTTGAAGCCTTGTATCTTTCCATCAATGACATTCTTTCTCCAACCCATGTCCCTGATTGCTTCAAGCAATTCTTCACCTTAGATAGGACCATCAGCTATTCCGGCCACTCCAAACCCCTGGCTGCCGTTCAGGTGACTGAGCTGGCAGATGGGGTTTTCATAGGGTGCACGGTTAACCACGCCGTGACCGACGGGACATCATTCTGGCATTTCTTCAACACATTTGCGGGAATTTGCAATGGAGTCCAAAAGATACCGGAATCCCCTGATTTTTGCCGCAACACGCTGTTTAACTCTAATGCCGTCCTTAGGTTCCCTCCTGGCGGCCCTAAGGCTACCTTTTCCGGTGATGAGCCGCTGCGCGAGAGAATATTCCATTTTAGCAGAGAATCAATTCTGAAACTCAAATACAAAGCCAATTGCGGCGGCCTGTTGGGGAAGCAACCAAGTTCCGAGGTATTGGGAAAGGCTTGTAATGGCAGTTGGAAAACCGTTAACGGCGAAACTAACGGTTTATCTAACGGCAAGATTAAGATCACCAATCGAACGGCTGAAATTTCGTCGTTTCAATCACTGTGCGCTCAGCTTTGGCGCTCGGTGACACGTGCGAGGAAGCTGGATCCTTCCAAAACGACGACGTTTAGAATGGCTGTGAACTGCAGGCCCAGGCTCGAGCCACGGCTCGACGCGTTCTACTTCGGCAACGCGATACAGAGCATTCCGACCGTTGCTCCGGCGGGGGAGCTTCTGTCTCGGGATTTGAGCTGGGGAGCGGATCTGCTCCACAAAAACGTGGTTGCGCACGGCGATGCTACGGTGCGCAAAGGCGTAGCGAATTGGGAGAGGGACCCGCGACTGTTTCCGCTAGGGAACTTCGACGGTGCATCCATTACCATGGGTAGCTCCCCCAGATTCCCAATGTACGATAACGACTTCGGGTGGGGCCGGCCTCTGGCTATCCGTAGCGGCAAGGCCAATAAGTTCGACGGCAAGACCTCAGCCTTTCCTGGGAGGGAAGGAAACGGAGCCGTCGATCTGGAGGTTGTCCTGGCACCGGAGACGATGACCGGACTGGAGAACGATGTTGAGTTTATGCAATACGTATCGGCGATCGTGTGAGTAATTACACGGTCGTAAAACCTTCAGCAGTCATCGTTTGTTTACTTGATATTGGACAGTCCGAATCCAGCGTGTCTGGCGTCTTTTCGCTGTTTTATTTCGCCTGTGGGTGTATTTCTCTCATTCAGCATCTGTACACGTTGAAGTTTTCATAATTTTTTTTTTAATCTAATTTGCATGCATCCTAATTTAAACGTGCCATAATCTAAAATATAATTTAATTATTATAAATTTAAAGTTTTAAATTAAAAATCTTAAATTTAACGTTGGAATTGAGTAAGAAAAATTTAGAAGAAAAAAATAATTATTTTTTTATATAATACATTATTATTGAATATATAGAAAGGGAGTATTAGAGAAACCTCTCTAAACATTATTTGTTTTTTAATTTTTTAAAGATATATAATATTATATATATCAATTAATTTAATAAAATAATATAAATTACATTAAAAATTCAAAACTTTTATCTTTTTTTATCATTATTTTAATTATATTATTTAATAATTATTTTTTTTAAGACACATGGTTATATGCATTAATTTATTCACCTCATTTAAAACAACATGATTTACCCTGAACACCTAATTTCGTCGTTTTTTAGCCCCCTTATCGTTACTCATTTAATTTACGTACCGTCTTAAAACTTTAAACTACGAACATGACCTAAACGACACTTGTCCACTGTATGATCCAATAAATCGATCAATTTATCTCTCCATTTTCTGTTTACAAACAGATCCAATGGTTGACAACTCGAAGCATTCATAGTTTCACCTGAACTAACATCCCAATCAATTCATGTCCACAACAACAAATCAATTATCCAACAAAATCAATCGTAGAGACAGACAAACCACGGAAGAGCCTCTTTGAAGCCCAAAGCAAAGCTTTACATCCCCCTACCGAAAGGCACAAATTGTCTGAATATAATATTGCATCATCTGTAGTTCACTTCTGGTGATGGGAAAATACGTTTCGCCAGCCATTGCAGGGGTCTTAACAGCTGAGCTCTCTTCTTCCTCCAGAACCAAATTGCTGCATTGTATTGTTCGTTGCGGATTTTCTTAGTGGCTGCTCTCCAGTCATACTTCTCCATTTCTTCACGTGCGGCTTTGCCAATGGTTTCTCTCAGTTCCTGGTTGTATAACAGAGGTTCCAGTTTGCTCAAGCAGTCATCAAGGTCGCCAGGGCTAAAGAGGAAGCCAGTTTTCCCCTCCTCGTCTGCAGGAATGATATCCGGGATTCCTCCAGCACGAGCTCCAACCACAGGGATTCCTGAAGACATGGCCTCCAAGACAACAAGTCCAAGTGTCTCGGATTCTGAAGGCATCACAAAAACATCCCCACTTGCATAAGCCTGAGATAGCTCTTCACCTTGTAACATTCCAGTAAAGACAGCAGGCATGCCGGAGAACATTTCTTCTAGCTCCTCTCTGCAATAAAAGAAACCATTTTGGTCAAAGGAGAAGTGCAGGATGTTGCATAATCTTGCTTTATGGATAGATCATCTCTTTCTTGCGAGGCTTAAACCAAAAAATATAAAGAAGATAGATCATCTTTCACTATCTCATTACATTAATACATGATACTCACATGCAAAGTTTTGGATTTAAGGGGTCAGTTTACATAAATGATAGCTCTAGAACTGGTAAGGTTATACCTTCCTGCTGCTATATATGAATTATCTCTCTACTTTCTAGGAAGAGCAAAAACAAGGATAAAATATTGGATGAGGAAATCTTGTCCTACTTTACAACCAATTTAAGCTCAAGAATGTCAAGTGAATTACCTGTATGGGCCATCTCCTATAAAAGCAATTCTTGCATCAGGAAGTCTGTCCATCACCCTGTTAAATCATGTCTTCAAAATGTAAATGTTTTGCAAGTAATAAGGGTGATTGTTGATAAGGAAGGCGTGTATGTAATTGATAGCTATTACCTTTTGAGGAAATCCAAACTCTTCTCAACTCCAAGGCGTCCAACATGGACTATCAATGGTTTCTCTGGCTCACCATTGCTATTTAGAGTAAAAATATAAACCATTAAGAGAATTGCATCAACACAAGCATTCAGGAAATACAGCAAAACCAAAGTAATGCATAAGGATCCTACCTCAGTCTTACTCGCATTTCATGAGAGCGGTAACGAGGGTGGAAGCTTTCAGAATCTACACCTTTATTCCAAAGACGAATCCTGTTGGCTGAAGCAACAATAGATCAAAAAGATGTGAGTTCATGACACAGGTATTAGCCATCATTATCTATGTAGCTAAGTATCTACAGAAAGGGAGATTAAAGAACAAATAAAGCAGAAGGATGAAAGTATTGGATTGAGAACACAGAAAGAGGAAAAACATGAAGAAGTGCATAGGCAGAAGTCACAGAATTCACAGAACTCTTTGACCAGATAGAGGTTGTTTGTATTCACCTGCCGTCACCCTAGCTGCTTGGAGATCCCTCCCAATGGCAGCTGATGGTACCAGGGTAAGATCAGCTGCTCTGTGGAGAAATTCTGATAAGATTGAGCAGGATAGTGAGTAAAGCTTTCTAAAACTTCAGATTCATATGGGATTAAAAAGGAAAAGGGTCAACGAAAGTTCACATACTTATGATCATCCACATAGGTTTTACCAGCCAGCTGAACGTGTATCTGGGTATATACCTGCACATATATACAAAACTGAGTCCCAAGGCCAAGCACCAGTTTACTCATTTTAGAACCTAGAAGAATAGCAAAAAATCTTTAAGCAGCAACTAGCCTTTGAGGCGTACTGTTTCCCCTGCATATGAAGTCAATGATATCATAAAATCAAGAAAATCAAAGAATCAAACTCACACTGGTACATGGGTGTGGTAAGACATCACTATGGGCACACATAGTAGCTTAGCAATGGCAAGAGCACCGAAAACCTGCAGTACATTCCCGCCATGCATTAGCCAACAGTACGTTTTAAATTTTTTCTTGCCATATACAAAACAATTTTTAATTTACCAACAACTGAAACCAAAAGCAATAACAAAATACCATTATCCCAGGTGATGATGCATGTATTATGTCAGGCTTAAACCGTGCAACCTCTGAAATTATTCTTGGGCTAAGTGCTAAGGAAAGCGGCACTTTCTGATACCAAGGGCAAGGAAAGCTGCAACAATGGGGAAAGCATAAAAAATTGAAAGCCAAAATAGTTTAGATTCTGAATATGTAAAAGTAAATAGGGCACTTATGTCAAACATTTCAAACAGCCTGCTAATGAATCTAAAGCAATCACAAGATAGAAAATAGAGAACAGGGCAATGAGACAATAGAGTTAAAAATGGTGAAAATAGGGTGAGTGAAGATACTTGAGTGCAACAGAAAGGTATTTTGATCAAAATATTTAAGATATTGAAAACCCACATATTTTTTGAACATCTGTCATGGTCCAAGGTCTTTCCATACTGAGAATCGAGGGCTCAGAAGCTCCCATTTTCCCTAGGGAAGATACATCACCAGGAACTTGATCGAAAATTGATGAAATTCTGTGTTGTATTTGACTAATCATCATAATATGCATTTCCCTTTTCACCAATTCTAAAATATTTATAAGCATCACTAAATAAATCATTCTCCTACCTTGGAATAACCTAGAAGTTAATACCTACATCAGTATTTCTTACATCTCTACAAGTTCCAGAAATTTTTTGACCTCAAAAAGCACATTGAAGTGCAAGTTACAATAAAACAAAAACAAATAGAAATCAAAAGGAAAGCCTAGCAACAACATATCAGTTGAAATTAGGTGACTATAACAACCTTCGTGATCCAATCAATTTTGCTCCATAGAACTCCTCAGGTACCCCTTCATGAGTTGTCACAACCATTACCTACATTCATTAATACCTCATCTATCAGTTCATCAAATAAAGTAATTTCCAGCAACTGTAATGAAACTGAGAAGAAATGCTGCATGGTTGTTGTGAATTAGTAACTGAAAATGAAGTCATGCTATATATCAGGATACCTCACGGAAACTTATTTGCTTGCTTATAGTTCCACAACTAGTTCAATTGCCATTCTAAATCAAGTTGCAGATAAATTTAGAACATACCTCATCACCCATTTCACGTAAATATCTTATAAAATTCTGGAACCTATTTTTATACCCTGATACATACCTGCAAAAGATGACAGCGTCACATTAAACAGGCACCCATTTTTTAGAGTTAATTAACACAATAATGGACAACAGAAAAAAGAAACAGGATGATGCTTTGCACAGCCCAGTGAATCTTATAAGTCTCCTTCAAAAATCATAGTTGGTTGTCTTAAAACTACTAAAACAATGACCAGAGAAAAGAACGCTCCATAAACAGTAATCAAATGCACCACACTATGGAAAATAACAATTTCAACACTTCAGGAATAAGAGGAACCCCATGGAAAAAGCAGCTTAATCATAAATTTCACCAATTGTCAGTTCATATATAGCTTAGAAGCCGGGATGATGGTTCAATATTGGACACTTGTCATACTCCTTAGAATATTGATTGAAGTTGGTGACTTGGTGTTCAACTGGGCTGTCAAAACCATACAATTTTTCAAAAAGAAAAAAAAATCCCTGAAAATACCAGCAATTTATAAGACTTATCAAGTGTCAGTTCCTTAGAGGCCATGACTATGGTTCAATATAGGGTATCAGGTTACAATATTACTTGGAATTAGTGTTTAATTGAGTGACAAAACCACACAATTGTCCAAACAAATCAAAAGAAATAATGGAAGAGAAAACCCTGAAAGTAACAACCAAATCACTGAATTCACAATGTAATGTAACATAGGAAGCATCACCCCAAAAATCCATCCAAAATCCACATCATTGGCGGCTAGCATGTATCATCAAAAGGGCAATTGCCAGTAAAGGTACCTCTTTGCCACTCTGCAACAGGGCTAACCCCCTAAAAGACATACTTATAACCAAAACTACCGACAATCTCCTCAAAACAAGACAAGGGTTAACAAAAATAACGATATCCCCTGGCTAACGTTAAAGCCAAAACCTCAAGCTTCAAAATCTAGATGAACAAGAACATCCAGAATC